TTTTCAATAATACAAAATGTACAAAGGATATACTGCAAAAGATTTTCCCATAAACTTACCAAAAGTGATGACATTATCATTTTTTCAAAAGAAATTATTAACGAAAGAGGAAAATCCAAAATTGCCAATTTATTCATTTATTTTTCCCCATTAAGTTTATTGGTACATTGAAAGCAAACAATACAGTTACATTGATCATTGGGATCTTGTACCTTTACACGATATGTCTTGGTTGTTTTTTCCCCATACCCTTGCACTCCTTCACCCACTTCACCCTTCCCTATTTACAAAAACTTTGTTTCCATTTTTTGTAATCTCTACATTAATACCTTTAGTGCTCTACTTTGTTTTTACCAAATGAAAATAATTTACAGAAGGATGTCAAAAACTGGAAATCCTAAGCAATGCTAAACAAGCAGAATCCATCACAAAATAAATGTTTTTTCTGTTGTTTTGTTTGTTTTGGTACCCAGGTTGAACTAACGCAGGCAGCAGAACCATTGAGCTAAACCCCCAGTCCAAGAAATGTTTTATGGTCTGAAGAAATCCCTTGAATTTCCTGCCTCCTCTCAGATTAGTCTTGCTTCAAAACTTGTGTCCTTTAGTACTAATCTTATTTCTTATGAAAACAAAGGGAAAAGTCTTAAGTATGGGGACCTTAAACTACATATTATGAAAAGTAACGTGTACAGTTGTACCAAGAAAGGGGAGAAAGTATTTTTTGCACTTCATTTGGTTTCTTTTATATCATTGGTTTTCAATCAGTTTTTACTAATTAATTATACAGGTATTTTTTTTGTTTTGTTCCACTTGAGACTAGACCATAACCTTCATACAGAGCTACATTCTCTTTTATATTTTTTAGCTTGGGACATAGTCTTGTTAAATTGCCTATGTTGGTCTAGAGTTTGGAATCCTCCTGCCTCAGTCTCCCAGATTGCTGAGATTACAAGCCTGCATCACCATGCCCATACAGGAATACTTAATATTAGCATCAATGGACAAATACGTGTAGAATAAACTGAGAGTCAGAGCTTCAACAAACAGTGAGCCCATTAATGTAATTCAAATGTCAATTAGTACTGCCTATTTCATTATGTTTAGACCCACGGAAAATGTTACCAATGTTTTTAGGCCCAGAAAGCTCTAGAGAACCCAGGATGTTTAGAAAAGTTGGAAGACACTAAGGCCATTTTTTAAAAAACATAGTATGTGAGTTATCCTCAGCTCACATCTGTGACATCTGATTTTAATCAAAGCTTACAATCTTTAAAGTATTTCTGCTTACACTCGGGACCACTGCAACAGTAGTATATGTCTATTACTTGTTAATAAACTAACTTACTTTTCATGTTAAATTTTGAATGTACTTTATTTAAAATCTCCCGAGGATGAAAATCCTATTATACGATTCTTTATTATAAAATGAGACAATATATTCAGCTGTTAATATTTCCAAACTCTATGGCTTGTAAAGCCACTGATCACTTAGCTGATAGTGATGTAATTTTTTGACTAATATTTAATAGCAAGAAAAGCTATTTAATAGTGAGAAAAACATAAAATGTTTAAAGGTTACTGATGGTTAAGATTCTAGACCACAATATTTCTCAGCATATAAATTAATTTATATATATATATATATTTTTTTTAGTATCAATATTTTCTTAAGAATTATTACTTTCAGAATAATTTAGTTGGTAGACAACAAATTATACATAAGAAGTTGAAGCCTAAAATGACATGAACATATAATTAAATTCTCTACTTATGTTTCTAAATAAAGTTACTTTTTAAATACAGATATGAGTAGTAAGAAAGTTACAGAGCTACTATGAGGGATATGATAAATGTAGTCATGAATGAAAACAATTTTTAATTTAGTATACTCTAGCAATCCAGAAAGCCCATGAATATTTATCATTAATTTAGTTTGCTCAAAAGTAGATAAAAGAGACTTTATGCAAGAGAAGGAGCATCATACAAAAACAATATATAGTATTGGAACCTATCAAAAAATTTCCATGATTACATATTTACATTTGAAATTGATAGCTTTACATTTCTAAGGAAAATGTTAACAATTTATTTTCCTTTATAAAATATGTATTAAAATCTTGGAATACAATTGAACTCCAGTTAAAGCCTTTGATCTGACAACAAAACCATTTATAAAATACTTATGTGGAAAAAAGTAGCATTATTAATATAGTACATATATATATTTATGTACTGTCAGATTGTGATACTATATTTCATATAAATATGCCTCCTTAAAGTCAAATACTTCCACCAATCGCCTTTTGTAAATAATGTAATTTTCATATGTTTTAACTCTCTTCTTCTTTTAGAACCTTTAGTAATTCAGCCCAAACTGATGTGCACCCCTGGATTTCTATTTACAGCAAACACAATACTTGGGTGACTGCAAGTTTACAGTCTACTGGGGGCCATGCACTGATGAAGAAACAATTTGGAAAACACCAGAGGGCTGGGAATTTATCTCAGTGGTACTGCTGCCTGCTTCGCAAACCCAAGGACCTGAGTTCAATCCCCGGTACCAAAACCACCAGGGATAGACTGATTGCAATGAAATTTTGTGGTCAAAAACAGGGCACTTAGATTAACCTAGTATTTTTATCTTTTTAAACGCAAATTCATGATAATAGAAACAAATACATGAGATAGATAAATTAAACTCATGACCCATAAAGAAATAGTTATAAAAATTATAGGTCAACTCAAGCTCAACCATATGGCTGCTCAATGTTCTTCACCAAAAATTATAGTGGATTTCATTTTCCAGCGATGGTACTGGTTGCCTGTGGTGTGCTCTTCACTACCATCCCTTGGCTTTTACATTTGACTTCTAACCCTTCTCCATCAAAGTTCTGAGAAATAATTAAACCCTAATAGTCTGACATCCATTGTATATGCCCAATTAACTTGCCTCATGCAAATCATGGTTAACTAGAAAAGTAGGATCCACAAGAACTACAGAAAAAATGTCACGCATAAGTTTCTGTAGGGATTTATCCTTCTGCTGAACCCTGAAGGAAATGACTGCTTAACATACACAATGAGAAAATAGAGATATTTATATCTAAATGGATGCATGAGGTGATACTCTTAAGTGAAATAAATAGGACTCACGTGTAAATACCGAATAGTTTCCCTAGTGTGAGAAACTGAATGTGTGAATAAGAACTAGAAGGTGTACTAGATAATGTGAAATAGAAAGAAAAGGAGCAAAGTGGAAGGGGGAGTGGATGGGAAAAGGGAAAAGAAAGAAGGGCAAGGAATTAATGTAAGAAAAAGAAAAATGGAAACATAGTCTTTGTAGAGAGGGGGTGGAGGGGCTGAAAGGAGGGCAGAGGAGTGGGGAAAAAATAAGAACAAGGATGGATTATGTAAAGGTGCAAATTTCCAAAGATGAATGTCATAATATTGTATACCTTAAATGTACCAATAAAATACATTTTAAAAAACATGTACAATGAATTTTTATACTTATATATTACTCGCAGCTTTACTCCTACAAAATTTTAACACTTCAATAATTTTCATTACACTGTAATGTAAAAGTTTTTGATGAAATATAAAAGGTATGGAATATATAACTTTGTTTGTTGAAAGAAGAGCTCATGAAAAACTTACAATTAGAAATTTAGAGACCACTTGGACTAGCGATGCACTGCATAGAGTCTATTTATGTGGGTAATATCATACCAAAACTTAATTAATGAGGTAAGTTCCTTAATGCTGTTATTTCTCAATTCTTTCTGCATTTTGATATGTTAATACCTTGGCAGGAATGTCAATGACATTTCACAATGTAGATAATCTCATCTGTAGAAACACTTTATTCGTTCTCCCTGAGAGATTTAGCAAAGCTTGTTTCATATCTAATGCAAAAATGCTTGATGTAATAAGTATTTTTACCTTTTTGTGTGTAGATTTTTTTTATGGAGGATGATTGCTCCTTCTTAATCTCTCTTCAAACATTTATTCTGTTGATTAATCATTTAAATTATTTGAATACCCTACCTGGCAATTGATTAGTTGTCTTCTTTGTATAAGCATGGTTTCATATAAGTAACTTTTTTGTTGTTTGCAGTGCTAGCCATTGAACCCAAGGTCTTGCTCCTGTTAGGCAAGTGTTGAACTAACAGAACTATACTCCTAGCTCCAAATAAATAATTCTTATTCACAGCATTCTTATTTGATATTTATATTGAAAAAGATAGGCAGAGAATCCAAACTTTATTTATAATATGTGTAAATATTATTTTAAAATAAAAAGGTAGAGGCTCCCATATTCACAATTGAATACTCGTAATTTGAAAACATGTATTTGCCTTTTAGCAAGAATTGCAAATATATGTACTAAACTAATATTTCAGTTTCTTCCTAAAATCATTTCAACAATATAGGGTGAAAATATGCATAAAAGAGCTTAGGTTGTGAAAAGGGGTTAAGTTGATGGTAACAAAATACTATATAAGTAGGTAACAAATTTGCCCAATCTGGGCTTTGTTATTTGTTTCATATACTTTTGAAACAATTATTAGTCCACTCACTGAAAAATTATGTATATTTCCTTATTGACCTAATGAAAATGTATATTTTAATTCAAAAAGACTCATAATAATCTTTTGTATATTTTTATCCTATCAATCAAAGTAAAATGACAGTGGCCCCAGTACACTGAGAAGGACAAATAGCAGCCTTTAGAAATTTGGAGATAGCTATTAAGGCAAACATTTTTCTTTTTAAACATTCTGAGAATCAAATTGACACCTACCGTTTCACAAGAGAAAAGCCAAAAAGGAGAAGGTCTTCATTCAAGCTTCTTCTTTGTTGAATAGACTTATTTATTAACATTTAACACATTTTTAAAATGTTTATACAATAATATTTTTCATAATGCAGAACTATGTTTCATTCTATGATTATGATCTATGTAATGTACTGAACTGGAATAAATGCAAATAAGTTACCTTTTTCAATATGCATCCTCTTTGACTCATGTGTCATGTCATGACCGGCCAAATCTCCCTCCTTTGGTCCAGGGAGTACATTTGGTGATAAACCCATCAGCATCTGGTTCATGGACAACCCATTCTGATGGACAGCTGTTAATTCCAAAACAAAAGAACAAGCACAAAAACAAAATAACAAAACAGGTTCAAACAGTTCAATCAAATTCTTTAGATTCAAAAATAAAATATAAATAGTCTAATTTAAAACTGTAATCTATCCCGAAATGGTAATTTATCTTTACAATTATAGTTATCCTACAATAATTGATAGCTATGATAATCTTAACAACAAGAAAATATCAAAAACACCACCACTTTATTTTACTTTTGTGTCACATAGAATAAAATATTTTAATGGATAGAATAATTATGATAGCCATATTACTACAACCATTACCAGTGAAATACTAATCTTTTAATTTAGAGCATCGAATTCTCTCCTCAGCAAATAACTTAATCCTACAGCAGGTACAATCTGAGCATTACAATACTTTGTATGTAGTTAAAATTTAATAAATATATTCTAGTTTCCTGAAAGGGAGAAAAGTGTTTTCCCCTGGTTAAGGCACTGCAATATGGTCCCAATTTTCTTACTCTATTCTAGTCAATAGAATGCAAAGTATAATAGGTGTCAAAATATTTCTCTCAAAATGCTTTTGAATTTAAACTTGAAAATAAAGGTGATCAATAAGTTCCTACTAGATGGCTAAATAATTAAAAACAAAAATTGATTTCCTGAACTAATAGTAATTAATAGCACTGTTACTTTTGAAATTATAAAACAGCAGTACTACATATGTTCGTGTTTTTTACAACCTCATCAATAAATTCAACTTAATGGAATTAATGGACTGTCCATGAAAGTCTTGGTTTTGTGCACAAATTTAGAAGGAAGAATAATTACATAAACCTTAATTTTTTGAAAAGTAAATATTTATTAAAATATTAAGAATTTCCATTTGGCAACCACAACTAGTAACAGCTAAGGATCAGTGATACTTCTTAAACTAGTTGGTGAAAGTTTGATGAATAGAATAATAGAATACACGTGTAGTTTTAGGATATTTCCTCCCAAGATGTTTAGCATCTTCAGATACTGAAAAATAACACTGTAGTAAACAAAGCTGCTAGTTGCCACCTTAACAAAATGATAAATTTATTATTAGTAATACAAAGATCATTTTTCTTGAAGCAATTCAACATGAAGATACCCTATCACGGCTATGTTATCCCTGCCAAAAAATGTTTAAACCAAAGCCAATCATGAAGACCAAAAAAAAGAAAAATCTAAGCTCAGGAACATTCTACAAAATAAATGCCTATGCTCATCAAAAATATGAAGTTACAGTTCCAGCTTCTCTAGTTAAAGGAAACCAAGGAGATGTGACAACTAATCACACTGGGTGATGATGAATCAGGTTTTGAAACTAGAAGGAAAATCATCTTGTTATTAAAAATATTAATGGGAAAACTGATTAAAGTTGAATGAAGTCTAAAGTTTAGAAAACAATGTCATAAGAATGTTAAATTTTAATTTTCAATCATTATTTTGTCATTATGGAAAGTAAATATCTTGCTAGTAGAATATGAACAAGGAAATATTTGAAGCAAAGAAGCTTTATGTCCAAGATGTGAGGCACTAGCAGCAATTTTCCCTGATAGAGATATCTTTATCAGATCCTGATTTACTGATGATTGATTTATTGATTGATTGAGTGAGTCTGGATGGCAAGTTCATCAGAACTGTGTGTGTTAAAGTTGGAAATTTTCTGTTAATCTGAAATTATTATTAATTATGCATTAAAAAGAAATGTCTATATATGTGAATGTACACAAGTGCATTCGTATATGTGTGTACTCGCTTATCTTTCCATTTCAACACTTAGGGCAGACCAACAAAAAAAAAAATCTGTTTGTATCAAGAATACAAAAAATAAACATTAATAAAATAGCATGAACATATAACAAAATTCTGGAAAATTATCCTTAAGCTGTCCCTTGTTTCCTTTCAATTACTAGAAAAACAAATATTTTTCTTTCTCTAAGAGGACAGCAGAAATTCAATCTCAGTATCTTCTAAAAGCATTAGAAATGGCACCAATGTTCTTTATTAAATTTCTGGCCCCAGTGTCAGCTTATCATAAAAGCATGCAGATAGTAATTACTGGAAAACTTTTCAGGTATTCGGAGCTGAATTTACCAACTCAGAAAGTTATCAGTGGTTTGGGGATGATTATCAAGTGATACATTTGTATCAATTAGCAAGTTACCATGGTTTAATTAAGAAAATAAATTTTTGACAGGCCAAATCAAATATTTATATTTAGTTTTATGAATAACTATATAATTGGTAAGAATTGACCTTTTATTTATAATTTTAATAAATGCATTTCTTCACACTTTATTCTAATATTCAATAGCATCCAGATTAAGGATTTTTGCCTTTTCTAAACATTCTTTTACAATCCAATAAAACACTTTCAAAAATTGTTTTCTGTTAGGGAAATATTCTCAACAACAAACTAACTCCAACAAACTCTGTAATTACCTAAAATTCATACTATAAATTTGATATTTGTAAAGTAATAAACATTCTCTAAAAATAATACAATATACATCAATTTTGTCTACCAAGCTAATCTAAAAAAATTTTGGTGGGAAAAAAAAGTTCAATTATTTTTCTTTCTTTCTTTTTTTTTTTGGCGGGGGGGTACTGGGGATTGAACTCAGGTCCTTGTGCCTGTAAGGCAGGCGGCAGAACCACAGAGGTAAATCCCTGGCCCAAAAGCTCAGTTCTTGTTCAGACACAACAAACAGTTGTTTATTGAATAGCTTCTTAAATTTATTCTTGATTTTTTTTGTCCCTGGAGAGCAAGATAAATGTAAAAATATGATGAAATAAACAGAGCTTTTAAGTTTTTAGTAATACATACCAATATGCATTATGCTTGGTTAAATTCTAAAATTTAGCCAGTATAAAATTTTTCAATTCATCAATCATCTGAATTACTTGGCATAGCTATTTCTGTCTATTTATTATTTTAATCTACTGTCTTGATTTTGATTTCTTTTATTCTTTCTTGTGGAAATCTTCATTACTGAAATGATGAATTTTAAAAATTAGTAATTACAAAAATGAAGAGATGGGATAAAAGGATAAAGTTGAATAATCAATAAACCGTGTATTCAGACAGATTTTTGAGAACAGGCTGTTTTCCTCAGAAACTAATCTACAGGGGTACTTACATTTGCTAACTTCATACCTCAACTCTTTATGTGTAGCATCAAAGACAGGAAGTTTCTATCAGAACCTGTTAATGTCATATCATACTTCAAGATATCCCAAACTGGGAAACCTAATTTTGACAGATGGCTATTGCTACAGAGCTTCAGAACATGATACAGTCGAGATCTATTTGGAGCGAAGGCATTTTGATTAGAAAAGCCAGCTGCACCTAATAAAGTCTAAAGCGGTGACAAGGGTAAGTATGAGACCTACGGATTCTGTCAGAAGAGCTCTCGGTCCGCGCTGGGGAGCTGGACACGCTGCTGCTGCGGTGTGAGGACGGGTGGCTGCCAGGCCGGCGACCCTCCTCCAGAGAGGGGGCTGGCGAAGGGCTATCAGGAACGCGCTCCTGCACCACGGGGGAGGGAGGAGGAAAACGAGGTGAATTCAGTAGGTCATGACGTAACAAATCTTAATTTGTCTTAAATACAGTAATACAGAAACATTCACTAGCTTTTAACTGTACTAAAAGTCCTTTTATTTTGACAAACACCTAAACCAGCTAATTTGAAATTCTTCAATGCATTCATCACCTAAAAGACTAAAATCTTTGTTAGTAAAATAGGAAGGGGATGCTTATGAAGCTGTGTTCTATAGGTAAGCTTTGCTGTACTCATGGTGGTGGCCCATCTCCTCTTTGAAGAAAAAGTGAACCTGAAGAAGACAACCAAAAAGCATCCAAGAATGAACCTACAGACAATGAAGAGCAATTAGAACACAGCAGGATTAAAGTTTTAGCTACTGATTTGTTTGAAGAAATTTTAAAATATGGTTTCCTGTTTGAGCAAGCATCTGGAGATCAGAGCACATGAACTATCAATGTGACACACCACGTATACTATACATAATAGACATAATAATAATAATAGCAACACCAGAGGAGTTGTTAATAGTTATCCCATTGTGTCATTGCTTTGGACACACTCGGACAGTCACAATTTGAGGTATCATACAACTGATTATTATTTAAATTATAGCAATTTTAATTGATTGAATAATTTTCAGAGTAGTTATAACCCTTTCTCCATTTGAACTAAACAAATGTATTAAGGGAAAACTCACAAAATATGCATTAGTTCTGTTTAGGCCAAATTAGTTTCATATATCCTGGTACTACTGTATGTGAATACTCATATCCCTCTCCAAACTTCCTCTAAGTTCCAGGCTTTTGTCATAAAAGTGACATCGAAGGAAGTACAGTATATAAATGCCTCTGATGAGCTATTAAAAATGGAATTACACCTTGACAACATATGCATTTCTAATATTTTCTACTTTGAGCAACAAGTTATTTATTTATACTTTCACATATTAAAGACATAGGCCTTGATGACTTTTCTTCACAATAACTAAGACATTTTTTAAATGTAAGGGTAAGTCTCAGTATAAAATATAATAAGTGTACTATTGCTTAAAAGGATAAAATATGCAAATACTAAAAACCAAAAAAGAAAAAAGTTCTAAAATATGATTGGCCTGGGGACTAATGTTTCCAACTAAAAATGGTTTACTTAATATGGAAAACAAAGCAGAAACTCAAAGCTTTGTATGGCCAAGTAGAAAGGTGATAATGCACACCTTTGCCCACAGCAGTTCCATGAGCCTCCTCCTGATGATTCTGGATTCTGCTGCACCCCGGGGTCACCAGCAAGTTCCTAAACAGCCTGTGCTTGGGCTTTCTGGTTCACAAGTGTCACACTGGAACCGTGTCCCCAGAATAGACATGTTGCAGTCCTAATCTGGGCTCTTTTCCTGAGACTTTAGCTCCAAAATCATGTAAAGATGGAGGCAAATATTGGAGTTATACAGCAGCCAGGCGAGGAAGTTCAGGGATTGCCAGCTAGCATCAGAAATATGGAGGGGCAAGGAAGGGTTCTACCTAGGATCTCAGAGGGAGCATGGGCCACCTGACATCTTTTCGTCCTGTTGCTTTCTTTCTCTCTCTCTCTTTTTTTTTTTTTTTTTTTTTTTTTGTACTGGGGATCGAACTTGGGACTTTGCCCTTGCAGAACCACTGAACTAAATCCCCAGCACAGCCAGATCAGACATCTTGATTTTAGACTTTCAGATTGGAGAAATGCGCCAGAATAAATTTTTATTGTTTTAATCCACCCAGACTGTGGTTCTGCATCACAGTGGCTCTAGAAAACTAAGACAGTACTAGGCATCCAGTGGTGCCCACACATTCTGAAGGTTCTGCTGATGGCTAACATGTAATGAAAATCATATATGCTTTAAGTTTTTCAGTGCTCAACATTATTATTAAAAATCTCCAACAGATACTCTAAGACTTCTTGTCTGTGCAGCCTGACAAATAAATGAAAACAAGCAGAAAGAAAGGCCAGGCACTATTCCAAAAGGGTGTCATACAATGATTTTCCAATAGGATAAAAAGTAATCCTATAAGAAAGCATGATAAAAGAGTTTCATGACCCAAAAATATTGTAAAGAGAAAAGGTGGGGAATATCAAATTAATAGTTCTCTGGAAAGGTTCAATGTATATTAAAATGTTAAAATGATAACTTACTGAACTTTAGGAGCATTTAAATAGATAATAAAAGATTCCCAAAGTACATGTGTTATCAATATTATACACAGCATCAGCCTTATAGCTTAATTAATAACATATTAAGAAGTAAGAGTGCTATTTTCTGCAAATAGCAAAATTGACTGATATTTAGATAAATACAAGATGCATATATTTCTCAATGAAATTCCTGTGCAATTTTAATTTGAAAGACGAAAATGATCATTGGCTAAGGGAAGGAGAAAGAAAATGGGGAGAGAAAACAAGCATATACCCCAAACATGATTTAAAACGAGCTTATTCAGGAAAATTTATGGAATATCACATATTTGACAGAGTAGAAGATATTAAAGAAAAATATCAGGCAACAGTTAAAAGTGCAGATTAAAATATTTTGAAATCTCTAAAAACATTTCACTAACCTAATTATTTTCCCATCATAATAAATTTCTTGTAGTGCTAATAGAAAGCATGAGATTGCTTTTTTCTGAGATACTTGTCATAAAAACTTAAATATAAGACTCTGTTACAATGGTTCTATCACTAAAAATAATTCTATGCCTATCTTAACATTTTCCACATAAGTATAAAAAGGTTACATTAGTCAATATATTTGTCAAAGATTCCTGTGGTGATTCCTTTAATTCATGAATTATTCACTTATTATTTTAGACATTCAAAATACTCTAAAGATAACAAAATAAACTAAGTAAATATATTAAAATCTTAATGCAAAATACATTTTAAAAGCAGTCTAATGCTTCGGAAATATTGGTACAATTATAGTATTAGCTTTAGTTTACCTTTAGTTGTAGGTATACATTTAAGAACAAAGAGTACAAAAACAATACTTAATGCTTTTATTTCAATAAATATTTTAATTTATGCAAATTTCCCGATTTAAAGGCTTAATTATTCAGTTGATACTTTATATAAATTGAGACAACATATTCAGTCATTTCATTTAATGTACAATTTCAATCTTTGGAACATGATGTATTGTTCTTTGAAGAATTTCATTAAAGTAAAATCCATTGAGCAAGTAAGATTTGAATACATTCTTGCACAATAAATTAATTTATCTTAACAGCTTAATTCTTTTATCATATTTATATGTTTGCCTTACCAGAGTATTCTATAAGATGGAAAATAATGGAGACAGTAAAGAATTGCTTAGGAGAGAATATAATAATTATTAGAGAAACAAAATAGATAATGAGTTTTATTCAGACATAATAACAAAGAAGTAGTTCAATGTCTATAGGGAAACTGTGTAAACTGGATTTATCATTTCATTTGTGTAATATCCTTTAACCTCCAAGATGGTTCTGAAGTAGAACAGAGAGGAAGAATATTTAATTTAATACTTCAACACACTGCTTTATAGTCCTGCATCAACCCCACCAATCAATAAAACACAATCTTTTGCAATGTTCATCTTTAGAGAACTCACCACAATAATAAATGAAAATTTAAGAGGAGTACTCTTACACTGCAAAAAAGGTCATGCTAATAAATTAATGGTAACAGAATAACAATAAAGGGAAAGCTGCATTTATTGATGCTGGGGAAGAACAAGAAGTATTTGTCTCTAGGATGATTCAGAACCAAAGGTGGAATTCAAAAACAGTAGACACTAAAATTTAAAAATAAAAATATAAGCAATTCAGTATTACACACACATCATTAAATACTTCAAAACTGGATTATTTCACCTGCCTCCTTCCTACCACAAAAGTATGTGTTTCATTTTATCAATTTAATCCATCTTCCTCAAGTAAGTATGATCACGACACATTTCTCTACAGGATAATTTTATTTAGCTTTAATTTATCTTGTTCTTTCACTTTAATTCGCTTTACTGTTATCAGTATTTCATTCAGAGATCCTCTCACTGAGCATGATATAGAAATATGAAGACTGATAATTCTAGTGTCAAATAAGTTATTTTGACATTACTCCTTAATTTGCAATGTTTAAGCTGACTAGTACTTTATTTATATATAATCAAAACTCCTGTGCCTCAGGACACCTCAGATTTGAATTCATTCATTCAATAAATATTTACTGAACACCTACAACAAGCCAAGCATGATTCTAGGCTCTGTTTATATGTAAGTAGATAAAGGGGACAAAAATCATTTTCTTCTTAGAGTATATATCATAGACTTGAAAATGTTAGTGAAGTATAGAATTCTTTACACTGACTTACGGGTTTCTCTGGGAAAAAAATGTACCATGAAGCTAATAGTAGAATTTGGATTCCAGACTCAGGAAAACCCTCAGTGATATTTTTAAGAGACATAATAAATGATGTCTACATACATGTATCTGATTAAGAGCAAGCAACCACCATCATAAAACTCCATGGCTCAAAGTCTTCAACTAAGGATGCAAGGAACATTTCAATGCTTTTTAAATTTGCTTTGATGATGAAACTCGAGAAATACTGTTTTACTAAATGTGACATTAGTAGACTCCAGGAGTATATTAAACAACTTAATTTTATTTTCCCATTGTCTTTTTGAATATATTTAGTAGTAGAAAGGGACTACATTTCTTCCACATTTTGTGTGACATAACTCAGGTGCTTATAATTTTTCAGGATACAGTTGGGTAATGTAAAATTGCCTTTGGCTGCAAAACATAATCTTGACTCAGGAGTTAAATTCAATCATGTGCAGTAATAATAAGCACTAGTACGTTAAAAGGTAGGACTGCTCCCTTTCCTACAGCCAAAGGTAGAAAGTAGTGGAAGAAAAGGAAGGAGGAAAAGGTAAGCTCTGGCTTAGCCAGCTCTCTGTATGGCAAATGTTTACAG